CTTATTTAAGGAGATACCCATGGCGTCAATAGGGTTAGGGACGTTGCAGATGCATAGTTAGTCAGATGTTGTATTCATGCAACGGAAAAATTTTAGAGTATTTGGGTATTCAGTTGTGGAGGGAGGAGCCTTTACTCCATAGTTTTCCCTCCATCAGTTGACTGTTGTGAGAGAGTTGCAGCTGCCACTCTAGCCTTCCTGGCAAGTCTCCAGTCCAGCGAGAACTACCTCCAGAGAAGACGGACCTTCCTTCACCCCTCTCTCTCCCTCCTCCTCTCTCTCAAACAAAACTCCTTTTCTTCCTCTCTCATCTTCTTTGTTAGCTTCTCTCTCGAGTGGTACTAGAGGGGCAGTGTTGAAGAGGATTTCAGAAGATGTCGAACGTGAAATTGAAACAGAATTTGACGATGGACGATTTGACACTCTAAAATCTATCAGTGAACATTTAGCATCTCTCTTAAAACAATAACATTTCAGCAAAATAACTTTTTAAAAACTTTTAAGGTGTGCTATATACAAAATACTGTTTCTTTAGTAAATACATGGCATTTATCTATAATAAACACACACAATAGTAAGTTTGTTGTTGTTTTTTCTAAAAGCTCTAAGCCTTGCAAAAAGTGTGTACAAAATAGTGTTCTGTTTTCTTCAGTCAATGACCACTGCCCATTCGTGTTCCACGTGTCCGTACTGTTGGGAGAAAGAGAGTTAAACTTGGCTCAAAGAGAGTTAAACCTGAAACCTAATTTGACGATGGTTCAAAGTTAGCTCAAAGAGAGTTAAACATGGCTCAAAGAGAGTTAAACTTAGCTCAAAGAGAGTTAAACTTGGTTCAAAGAGAGTTAAACTTGGGCTCAAAGAGAGTAAAACTTGTCCCAAAGAGAGTAAAACTTGGCTCAAAGAGAGTTAAACTTGGCTCAAAGAGAGTTAAAAATTAAAACGGTAGTAATGCACACCTGAATGTCAGTCAGTTCTTTCAGACATCTCTGAGCTACTTCAGCCCCACTCTCCATCGTCGGTATCTTCAAATGCTGCGTTGAAAATCAAAATCACAACGTAATGAGAAGTAGGAGTGTCCTAAGAGGTTTAATACGTACAGTGGAACCCTCTCTCTAAGGACACCCCTGAAATGAGGACACCTCTAATAAGGACACCTTTTCTTCCCCCAACAACATTAATTTTCTTCCTGTAGTGAGGACACCTCTCTAATAAGGACACCTTTTCTTCCCCAAGAACAGTTCTTGCATGCAATTTAACCCCTGAAATAAGGACACCTCACCTCATCCAAGAATGCTATTTTGTCGACGGGACAAACAACACAAGCTGTTCCAGCTCCAAACATCTCCTTCAGCTGAGAATGGGAGAGAGAGGGTGTGTAAGTATTATGATAGCCACTAGATAAAACCAATACTTACTCTGTTTTCTTTCACTGCTTTCCTGACGTCATCCATAGTTATTGTCCTCTCCACAACCTTGTGACTTCCCTGGGTTAACAAAATATTTTTTCAAGAATCGCAACTTAAGGTATAATAATTCCTTGTGGCTGACCCAGTGTAAATGGTGTGCTAAAAACCAGTCTTTGCACGTGTGTGTGCATGCGTGTGTGAGTGTGTGTGTGTGTGCGTCTATCGTAGCAAATATGATTGGATGTTTCGGTCTGCGGACCTTCATCAGCAATCAATATACTTCTCCTTTCCATCGCAGATGAACTCTTGTCATCGACTGGCTCATTGATGGACGTTCTCCTGGACAGTGGTGATGTCATTGTCAGTGAATGGAGCAGTCCAGATCTGGTGGATTGTTTGTGCCAAGCTTTGGAACAGGCGTGAGAGGTTTATGCTAGGACTGAAGTGGATTTTGGACACCAGTGGGACAGAAGAAAGTGTCCATATTAGTGAGGTGTCCTTATTTCAGGGGTTGAATTGCATGCAAGAACTGTTCTTTGAGGAAAGACAAGGTGTCCTTATAGAGAGGTGTCCTCATTTCAGGAAGAACTGTTCTTTGGAGAAAGAAAAGGTGTCCATATTCCTCAATTCAGGGAGTTGGTGAGAGATTAGTATTTATTTGACTTTCAGAATTGGTGGAGCCATTAAACCTACACACAGCCTGATAAGATTTCTACTATGTCTGCACATACTGCATGCACTAGCAGGTCATATAAATTTAACCCTGAAACATTACTTGTATTTAGCATGCTAAAAAGTGATTTGCATTACGATTATCCCCAATTCAGTACCTCAGTCTCTACTTTGGACAGCGCAGGAGTATACATCCAGTGTCTTCACACAATGACCACTCATGAAAATGGAATATCAAGTCTTGGTAAGTAGTGTTTACCTGTAGTCATACACTACGGAGCATGCGTACAGTTGACGTTACATTTACTAAGATATACGGAGCTCCGCGCCTATATCCGGAGTACTATGCGCATGCACAAAGATATCCGGAAATTCTCGGATTTACGAGCCCCTCACAACAATGGCTGCCCAGTCCTTGGCCGCGTCTTTCCTCCGCGACCATCCCCGCCTCCGTCCGTTCCTCCTCTCCTCCGCTCGAGCCACGGGCAGGACCATCGGGTCTGGCTCGTACGGCAGCGTGGAGGAGGTGGCAATTCCAGGAGCCGTGTGCGCCGCCAAGAAGATCCACGACTTTTTCCAAGACCCGCGACAGATGCCGCGCGAAGGCATCGAGAAGGCCGCGGACGAGTTCGCGCGTGAGTGTCAGCTGATGAGCACCCTCCGCCACCCGCACATCGTCCAGTTCCTTGGCGTGTGTTTCCTGCCCGGCTCGCGAATGCCGGCGCTTGTCATGGAGAAGCTTGCGACCAGTCTCCACGACATTCTGGATCCAGAACCTCCGCCGCTGACCAAGCCCTTCGTCCCCGTCTCTCTGAAACGCTCCGTCCTTCACGACGTGGCCCGTGGGCTCTCGTTCCTGCACAGCCACTCGCCGCCCATCATCCACCGCGACTTGTCGGCCAGAAACGTTCTCCTGAATGAGGGGATGGTGGCCAAGATAGCCGACCTGGGCATGGCTCGCATTTTGCCGGGTTTGCGAGCTTCCACCATGACCAAGGCACCAGGAGCTTCCGTCTACATGCCACCAGAGGCTCTGGAAGACGAATCGAGATACGACGTCACAATCGATATCTTTTCTCTCGGGGTTGTCGCAATTTTCGCACTCTCCCAAACGTTTCCCAAACCTCTGGCGGCAGCGTACATGGACGACAGTGGGAGGATGGTGGGTCGAACAGAGTTGGAGCGTCGTGGCAACTACATGCGGGAGGTGACGAGGCAATTCCGTGAGGGGCATCCCCTGGTCCAAATGATTCAGCGGTGCCTGAAGAACCGGATGAGAGAGAGACCGACCATCCAGCAAGTGATGGGGTGGCTGGAGGAGGCCAGAGCCGAGGTTGAAGATGGTGAATATGACGTGAACAAACTGTCACTGGCTCAACTGCTGCAGTCCAGAAGCTTTAACATCCAACAACAACGAATCCAAATTGATCAGCAGCAAAGACGAAATCCGCACAAAAAGATGGGGCAAATCACGCCTGAGGAGCAGAATGATGTTCTCAAAGGCAGAAATTGCAGCTTGAAGCAGTCGCCAAAGGTATGTGTGACTATGTCTGTCTACGTCATTTAGTCTGTGTCTCCGTTTATAAATTAAGCCGTCCTAAAATGTTGTGGGGAGGGACTATAATATTATAGCAATAGTTTGGTGTAAATTTTATGTCTGCTACTTAGCTAAATGTGAAGGTTTTTTCCCTAAAAATAATTCCCCCAACTGATACTGAAAATACTGATACGGCCTCAGATGGATGTGTACTGTGGGACAATAGCAAGCATAACTGTGTGACTACGAAGTCAATTAACTAGGCGTGAATAATGTTGTTATTTGCTGTTGCCTAGCAACCAAAAACAAACAATTAATACGGCCACCACTGGAAAGGATGTTGGCTTACTGGACTAGGCCAATGATGAAAGGGGCCAAGAGCTAACAATCCTCTTAATTGGTGTGTGTTCGCCCATGCAACTCGATGGTGCACACTCATTTTCACTTTCACACAGTATTATTACTGTCTTTCATGTTTTATACTCAACTCTACTCGTTTACGTATTTCCTATTGTGGGTGCATGAGCTGCATGGGTTTTACATGTGTACGCATTCCCCAAATTCCTCTGTGCTACAGGTCCAATGGCCACTTTCACTCAACTGGAGGAAGGGGAAGGATATACCCACTGATAGGTTACTGTTGGCCTCTGCAGTTGTCATCAATGGAATGGTGTACTGTGGAGGTAATGATCCATTGACCAATGTTGTCATTCAGTACAATCCAGAGAGTGGTGACTGGAGTGAGCTCCCCAGATCTCCAGTGAAGGGCTTTGCTATGACCTCACTCAATGGTCAGCTGGTACTAGCTGGTGGTTATGGTGATGATACTAGAATCACAGTGTGGGACAGTGGTCGTAGTAAGTGGGTCCATCCTTACCCTCCCATGCCTACTGGACGAGCTGGTTTCAGCTGCTGTGGGCTACCAGAACTATCTCATAGTAGCATGTGGGTTGGAGCATAGGAGTGAAGTAGAGGTGTTGGACAGCTCCAGTGGTAGATGGTACAGTGCACAGCCAGTACCTGTGGGGGGTCACTGATGTCGTCAGTAGTGGTAGGTGATCGCTGGTACTTGTCCTCATTTGGGGGGTGGAAGGATGAGAAGGAACACATATTCTGGGCCCATCTCCCCACTCTGACATCCAGTGCTACATCAGCTCACACTACCACTGAACGCATTTGGCATGAGCTGCCCACACCTCCGGTAGAGCAGCCCACCCTATTAGCCCTCCAGGGGACACTTGCTATTGGTAGGAGGAGGGGGTGTGTACAGGAGATCCATCGCTATGACCAAGAGACTAGACAATGGAGGGTGTGTGGACAATTGCCAGTTGGAATGTTGGCTCCATGCTGTACTGAACTACCATCTGGTGAGCTGATGGTGGCTGGGGGAGTGACTGGAGATACAAAGACCACCTCCAAGAGAATGTGGATAGCTAAGATTGATTAACTTTGACACTCGTTGCTACATTATACCGGTTATTATTTACTCTGAATTATTACTACAGTTATATGGGCACAGCGCAGAACGGTCACGGTCTGTAACGACCAAATAAGGCGTAAACAAATGCAGCACAAGCAACGAAGCAACACGATGCATCTTTGAGCCAAATTTCACATTTGCTCACTTCTTTTTCGTGTCCAATGCTGACTTTCTATTTAGTGTGCACTTCTTGTCTCGTGTATATTATTATGTCACCACTTACACTGTATATAGCTGTGCCATTATGTCAAGATTGCTTTGTGTCCAGAGCCTTCATAAGTCCATAGGAATTTATATGGGGGTTATAATACTAGGTGCTAATACTTTATACACCAATTTCTGCTTATTTAAGGAGATATCCATGGCATCAATAGGGTTAGGGACGTTGCAGATGCATAGTTAGTCAGATGTTGTATTCATGCAACGGAAACGTTTCAGCACAATAACTTTTTAAAAACTTTTTAAGGTGTGCTATATACAAAATACTGTTTCTTAGTAAATACATGGCATTTATCTATAATAAACACACACAATAGTAAGTTTGTTGTTGTTTTTTCTAAAAGCTCTAAGCCTTGCAAAAAGTGTGTACAAAATAGTGTTCTGTTTCTTTCTTTAGTCAATGACCACTGCCCATTCGTGTTCCACGTGTCCGTATACTGTTGGGAGAAAGAGTTAAACTTGGCTCAAAGAGAGTTAAACTTGAAACCGAATTTGACGATGGTTCAAAGAGAGTTAAACTAGGCTCAAAGAGAGTTAAACTTGGTTCAAAGGGAGTTAAACTTGTCTCAAAGAGAGTTAAAAATTAATACGGCAGTAATGCACACCTGAATGTCTGTCAGTTCTTTCAGACATCTCTGAGCTACTTCAGCCCCACTCTCCATCGTCGGTATCTTCAAATGCTGCGTTGAAAATAAAAATCACAACGTAATGAGAGGTACAAGTGTCCTAAGAGGTTTAATATGTACAGTGGAACCCCTCTCTAAAGACACCCCTGAAATGAGGACACCTCTCTAATAAGGACACCTTTTCTTTCCCCAAGAACAGTTCTTTTAACCCTTGAAATAAGGACACTTCACCCCAGCCATTTTGTCGACAACACTTATTATACCACATCTATGCGCGTGCACAAAGATATCCGGAAATTCTCGGGTATACGAGCCCCTGGCCGCCTTCGGCATAATGGCTGCCCAGTCCTTGGCCGCGTCTTTCCTCCGCGACCATCCCCGCCTCCGTCCGTTCCTCCTCTCCTCCGCTCGAGCCACGGGCAGGACCATCGGGTCTGGCTCGTACGGCAGCGTGGAGGAGGTGGCAATTCCAGGAGCCGTGTGCGCCGCCAAGAAGATCCACGACTTTTTCCAAGACCCGCGACAGATGCCGCGCGAAGGCATCGAGAAGGCCGCGGACGAGTTCGCGCGTGAGTGTCAGCTGATGAGCACCCTCCGCCACCCGCACATCGTCCAGTTCCTTGGCGTGTGTTTCCTGCCCGGCTCGCGAATGCCGGCGCTTGTCATGGAGAAGCTTGCGACCAGTCTCCACGACATTCTGGATCCAGAACCTCCGCCGCCGACCAAGCCCTTCGTCCCCGTCTCTCTGAAACGCTCCGTCCTTCACGACGTGGCCCGCGGGCTCTCGTTCCTGCACAGCCACTCGCCGCCCATCATCCACCGCGACTTGTCGGCCAGAAACGTTCTCCTGAATGAGGGGATGGTGGCCAAGATAGCCGACCTGGGCATGGCTCGCATTTTGCCGGGTTTGCGAGCTTCCACCATGACCAAGGCACCAGGAGCTTCCGTCTACATGCCACCAGAGGCTCTGGAAGACGAATCGAGATACGACGTCACAATCGATATCTTTTCTCTCGGGGGTTGTCGCAATTTTCGCACTCTCCCAAACGTTTCCCAAACCTCTGGCGGCAGCGTACATGGACGACAATGGGAGGATGGTGGGTCGAACAGAGTTGGAGCGTCGTGGCAACTACATGCGAGAGGTAACGGGGCAATTCCGGGAGGGGCATCCCCTGGTCCGAATGATCCAGCGGTGCCTGAAGAACCGGATGAGAGAGAGACCGACCATCCAGCAAGTGATGGGGTGGCTGGAGGAGGCCAGAGCCGAGGTTGAAGATGGTGAATATGACGTGAACAAACTGTCACTGGTTCAACTGCTGCAGTCCAGAAACCTCAACATCCAACAACAGCGACAACAAATCGATCAACAGCAACAACAAATCGGCCAAAAAGATGGGGAAATTTGCACCATAAGGGAGCAGATCCAATTGCTGCAAGTGCAAAATGAGTCCCTACAATCAGAAAATGCAGCTTTGAAGCAGTCGCAAAAGGTTTGTGTGAGCTTCGTCCGTCTACTGTCATTTAGTCTGTGTCTCTCTCGTCTCTTTACAGACCACCCTACTGTGACCACACCCACAACAGCCACCCCAAAACCTGTCACATCAGGAGCCAAACCTCTTTCTCCAGTAAGTTTTTTTGTTGTTTCAAGAGAATATTTTCACAAAACTCACGTTTTTATAATTAAGCCGTCCTAAAATGGTGTGGGGAGGGACTAGCAATTCATGAAATATTTTGGTGTAATTTTATGTCTGCTATATACTTAGCTAAATGTGTAGTTTTGAAATAATTCTCCCCACCTGATGCTGACAATGAATGTGTACTGTACTAATGTGTGGGATAAGAGCAAGCATAACTGTGTGGCTATGAAGTCAATTAACTAGGCATGAATGTTGATTTGTTAGCTGTTGCCTAGCAACCAAAAAATAAACAATTAATCAGGCCACACTGGAAGGATGTTGGCTTACTGAGAAGTAGGCCAATGATGAAAGGGGGCCAAGAGCTAACAATCCTCTTAATTGGTGTGTGTTCGCCCATGCAACTCATGGTGCACTCTCATTTTCTTTCACTGTTATTCATGGTAATTGGTGAGCGAAGCGAACCTACCTAAAGTACGTTCGTGCTGAGAATGCACCTTGAAAATCTAGAATAACTTCCGATTCCAGCCACACTTGGTATCAAAATGTAGCACTTCACACTCCGGTTCGTTCAGCGCTTACCCCGTTCAAATCCGCTGCGTAGTTGTTTCGCTACGCACGTTATGCATAATCCCATACATTTCTACACATACTTTACATACGGTGAATAGTACCGCCATCTTTATTATATACTTCCGCATGCATTCTCAGCGCGAACGTACTTTAGTCGTCTGATCGAATCAAATTTTCTATGTCATGTTTGTATGTGACGGGCACTGCACATACCGTAATATTACGTGATTCTAAATACGCGCGAAATATTGAAACATTGAACTGATCGCTTTGCTCGCCAAAAATGCTTTCCTTTAATCTAGTATTAATTACTGTTTTTCTATACTCAACTCTACTATTTACTTTTCCTAATGTGGGATGCATGAGCTGCATGGGTTTTACATGTGTAACAGCATTCCCAAATTCTCTGTGCTACAGTTACAATGGCCACTTTCACTCAACTGGAGGAAGGGGAAGGATATACCCACTGGTAATTTAGTGTGGGCCTCTGCAGTTGTCATCAATGGAATGGTGTACTGTGGAGGTAATGCTCCATTGACCAATGTTGTCATTCACAATCCAGAGAGTGGTGACTGGAGTAAGCTCCCTAGTTCTCTTGTGAGTAGCTTTGCTATGACCTCACTCAATGGTCAGCTGGTACTAGCTGGTGGTCTTGGTGGTGATACTAGAATCACAGTGTGGGACAGTGGTCGTAGTGAGTGGGTCCATCCTTACTCTCCCATACCTACTGGACGAGGTAGTCCAGCTGCTGCGGGCTACCAGAACTATCTCGTAGTAGCATGTGGGGTTGAGCATAAGAGTGAAGTAGAGGTGTTGGACAGCTCCAGTGATAGATGGTACAGTGCACAGCCAGTACCTGTGGGGGGTCATTTGATGTCTTCAGTAGTGATAGGTGATCGCTGGTACTTGTCCTCATTTGGGGGGTGGAAGGATGAGAAGGAACACATATTCTGGGCCCATCTCCCCACTCTGACATCCAGTGCTACATCAGCTCACACTACCACTGAACGCATTTGGCATGAGCTGCCCACACCTCCGGTAGATGCAGCCCCACCCTATCTAGCCCTCCAGGGACACTGCTATTGGTAGGAGGAAGGGGGGTGTGTGCAGGAGATCCATCGCTATGACCAAGAGGCTAGACAATGGAGGGTGTGTGGACAATTGCCAGTTGGAATGGTGGCTCCATGCTGTACTGAACTACCATCTGGTGAGCTGATGGTGGCTGGAGGAATGACTGGAGATACTAAAACCATCTCCAAGAGAATGTGGATAGCTAAGATTGATTAGCTTTGACACTCGTTGCTACATTATACCGGTTATTATTATACTCTGAATTATTACTCACAGTTATATGGGCACAGCGCAGAACGGTCGCGGTCTGTAACGACAAATAAGGCGGTAAACAAAATTTCAGCACAAGCAAAGAAGCGAGGCAGCACGAGGTGCAGGTTTTTTGAGGGCAAATGAATTTCACATTTGGGGGCTCACGGTTCTTTTCGTGTTCCAAATTGCGTGGTGTCGAAGTAGTTTCTAGTTAGTGTGCACCGGTCTAAAAGGGAGAAGAAGGTCTAAAAAAGGGGTAGGAAAAAAGGTATACGTATAGTTCTCTGGTGGAAGTAAAGAGTTATATGTCACCACTTTTACACTGGTGCTATAGCGGAAAGGGTGTGCCTATCTGGAAAGGGGAAAGGGGGAAAAAAAAAAGAAAAAGGGGGGAAAGAAAGTGGTACATAGTCATGGTCACTATGAGAACTCTAGATAATAGACAAGAGCACTGATAACCAAGCAGTAATGAGCACGCATGTAGTCAGTATATAATGTGTCCAGAGCACTGTTTTACTTCAAAAGATAACCCAGGTGACCATGGGTGCGAGAGTGCTGTGGGGGCGAATAACGGGATGCAGCAGGCGGGTGGTGTGTTAGGAAGGCTCTGGACACATTATTTACTTAGGCGATATCGCATGTTAGAGCGTGCCTTAAAGCGAACTCAGGTACGATATATATGGGGCACTTAGTTTGCTATAATAACACTTGAAGGAACCAATGGGCTGGTCGACAGAAGCATATAAATACAGCGAGGGCAACACAGAGACGGCTCCATAAGTCCATTAGAATTAATAGTGATGGAGGTATAGAAGACTAGTCTTAGTTTACATAATGTCTGCTTTATTTAAGGCCAGAGTTATCCTGGCGCCAAAGGGTGTTTAATCACTTACCAGCGCTACAGTAAAATGTGCCCGAGCCTTCATTATTCCATTCGAATGTATATGGGGGTTATAATCCTAGGTGCTCATACTTTTTACATCAATTTTCTGCTTATTTAGAAGATATCCATGGCCTTCCAAAGGGTTTTAACACTTACCATCTACAGTAATGTTCCCATAGCTTCATAATTCATTAGAATGTATAGGGGGGTT